CCAACTGTGATAATTTTATCACTCCCAAAGTCAACCCCAAAATATGGGAACAACTTGATCGCCAAACCCGTGGGCGAGACCTTAAGCTATTGACACCTCAGTCAACTACCACTAAAGTGGGATACATTTGCACAAAAGCTACCGAACTTTTGTTGCAAGCCTGAAGGGAAAACAAGTCTCCCATCATTGAGCAGTTGATAAGAATGCATACCAACGCTTGGGGGCTTTTAGGCCATATCTCGTTCAAGATATCACAAGACGCCATTAGCCCTAATCTAAGCAGAGGGTACGCTACACTGTGCACGTCACATGTCCCATCACAAAGATGCTGTTCGGGGATGAGCTGCAAACAGCTTAATCATATTCGAGCTTTGAATAAGATTAGCAATACCACCAGTACTCAAGATGGAAATAAGGGGTATTCAAGTTCCCAGCTACTGAGGTTCGCACTCCACAAGTACTGACAGGAATTTTTGAGGGAGAACCTCTCAGACGTGCCAGCAGAGCAACCGCGCCCGGAAAAACCGGAATTACCCCCTGAAGAAAAAAGATCCTAACGATCAGAAGTAACGACTACTGGCATTATCAACCAACTTGATTCACCTCAGGTAAGGGACAATTTTGAATCATTTTTGCCCATATTACTGGAATACTTCAGGGAAAAAATGCTTTCCTTTAAGGCTGGCAATTTAGCAGCCCATTTTTCACAATGGCAGTTTTTTAACCTCAGACCCTGAAATTATCGAGACTGTATCAGGTTGCAAAATTGAATTTGATACAATTCCAAGCCTTAATAAGGCTATGGTCCATGCAGTGCTCTCAGAGACTCAAACAGAATCTGTTGACACTGAAGTCTCTAATCTGTTGCGTAAACAAGCAATTAAAGCCTGTGACCATGAGGCAGGGGAATACATCCCCATCTTCATCCAGCCTAAGAAATATGGATCACACAGAATGATATTGAACCTAAAGTCCCTCAACAAAAATATTACTCACCATCATTTCAAGATGGATACAGTGTTATCTGCTGTTCGACTAATGAAACCTGAGTGCTTTATGGTGCCAATTGATCTTAAAGATGCCTATTATTCAGTATCAATACATTCTGATTTCCAAAAGTACCTAAAATTCAGCTGGAGAGG